AAAAAACCTACAAGAACCTAAACCATGGATTCATAATGTGGTAATAAACCATGGCTTATTAGGAAAAGTAAATTTGCATGTTGCAAACAAGCCAGTTTTCAACCATGGCTTGCTGTGATATATAATAAAAACGGTCTAAGTCAGGGTTTTAGGTAAAAAAAATCAGACTTTTAATGATAACAAATCAGCATTTGCTAAATAGGTTGATTTTCCTTTTTTTTGAAGTACAACAGAAGCATCTTCTGCACTGTAAACACTGCAAAACATATTCGTGTAAATGCCTAAAACACCTACTAGGTGGCATTCAGAAAACTTTTAGTGTTGCCATTTTTGGGACCTCAACATTGAGATAAGGGGACCCCATCTGGGGTTGGGAACCAAAGTAGAAAAAAGCAGTCGTTTAAGTCACACTATTTTAGAAAGTAGACAGTCCATTTAACACTATATCTAATCACAAATTCACACCTTAATCAATAATTAATTGCTTTTAAAAGCTATTTCATATAGTCCATTAAGAAGAACCTAGGCTTTCACAAAATGAATGCTTCTTGGGGAACTTCAGCCATACATTCCTTATTAAGCATACTTACATGATACAGATTTTTGTTGCATTTGCAAACAGTAAAATTCAAATCCATTCCTAAACCGCAGTATTTAAATAGGCTCAGTATCACCAAGTGATGTGCTCTGGCTTTGCCTCCCAAGAAAAAACAACTTCAATCTTCTCTGAAATGTTTTGTGGAATCAAGAAGTCTGCTTTCTCTATCTCTTGCCACATATAACTATTTAGGAATCTTTTGAGCCAACTGCAAAGTTTAAGCTGTTGCCCCTGGAAAAGATACATAAGAAAACACAGCTTGGGAAGCTGCCTTTGGGATTGCAAGACCTCCAACCCCCCCAAATCCTTCTGGTCATGTGACTCTGGCTACTTCCAAGCCTGTAAGTCAGTGGTTCTCAACCTGGGGTCCCCAGATGTTTTTGGCCTATGACTCCTAGAAATCCCAGCCAGTTTATCAGCTATTAGGATTTCTGGCAGTTGAAGACCAAAAACATCTGGGGACCCCAGGTTGAGAACCATTGCTGTAAATCATCATACTATCCTAACATAACAAAGGAGTAGCTAGTGGCATGTCTGCAGGCAGGCTTCAGCATTACAACAGTTAAATTCTGAAGCAACGCATTACAGTGCCTCAAAACAATCTGCGTACAGGAAATTAAATGTTCTTTCTAACAAATTGAAACTTCCTTATTTCTATGCTGACTGTTGTGAAAGAGTTGTCTGTTCTTCAGTTTGGCCAAGTTTAATATTAACTTTTATATAATTATAAAGTTTGTGCTTCTCTGTGTATGTGTTTTTGTGAGTTTAGAATATGGATTTTTTCCCAAGTTCCCTAACATTGCTATAGTCAAAATCATGAGCAGCCTAGTTATGCCTACTCTACTGCTAATGTGGGTAGTCTTTGGGGAGTCTAGAATCTAGGGAAATGGAACCAACTTCTTGGCTCCTTGGGGATGCCAGAGCAATTTACAAAGAACGCAGCACAAGAATGTAAGAAGTCTGTGGAGGGGGGGAAATCACAAAAACATAGAGCAGTGGTTCTCAACCTTCCTAATGCTGCGACCCCTTAATACAGTTCTTCATGTTATGTTGACATCTAACCATAAAATAATTCTCGTTGCTATTTCATAACTGTTATTTTTCTACGGTTATCAATTATAATGTAAACATCTGATGTATTTTCATTCACTTGACCAAATTTGGCACAAATACCCAATACACCCAAGTTTGAATACTGGTGGGGTTGGGATTGATTTTGACATTTGGGAGTTGTAGTTGCTGGGATTTATAGTTCACCTACAATCAAAGAGCATTTAGATCTCTACCATCGATGTAATTGAACCAAACTTGGCACACATAACTTCAATTACCAGCAAAAAAAATACTGGAAGAGTTTGGTGGGCATTGACCTTGAGTTTTGGAATTGTACTTCACCTACATCCAGCGAACACTGGACTCAAACAATGATGAATCTGGACGAAAGTTTGCATGAATACTCAATATGCCAAAATGTGGACACTGGTGGAGTTTAGGAAAAATAGACCTTGACATTTGGGAGTTGTAGTTGCTGGGATTCATAGTTCATCTACAATCAAAGAGCATTCTGAACCCCACCAACGATGGAATTGAACCAATCTTGGCATACAGAACTTCCATGACCAACAGAAAAAGGGTTTGGTGGGCATTGACCTTGAGTTTTAGAGTTGTAGTTCACCTACATCCAGAGAGCACTGTGGACTCAAACAATGATGGATCATGACCAACATGGCATGAATATTCAATATGCCCAAATGTGAACACTGGTGGAGTTTGGAGGAAAAATAGACCTTGACATTTGGGAGTTGTAGTTGCTGGGATGTATAGTTCACCTACAATCAAAGAGCATTCTGAACCGCACAAATGACAGAATTGGGTCAAACTTCCCACACTGAAAGCCCATGACCACTAGAAAATACTTTGTTTTCTGGTGGTCTTTGGCGACCTCTCTGACACCCCTTCGCAACCCCTCCAGGGGTCCTGACTCTCAGGTTAAGAAACACTGATACAGAGCTTAAAATATGTTTTATTTGAAGTCAAATAACACAGATATTGCTTTTGATTGATTCAATCTCTCTACAAACCAAACCAAAGTGGAAATGTGCTAAAAGAATATCACAACAACAATAAGCAACAAGGACAGTCTGCTGGGGGAATACTGCAACCTAGTGAACAGCAATGGCATGATTACATGATAATTAGCTGCCTGAGTAGGAAAGTTACTTATTATAGACACTGATGGTTTGATCATCTCCTCCCTTCAGCTCAAAAGGCAGAGAAAGAAAAAGGGGAAGACTGAACAAAGGATCGGTCTTCTATTTCTTCTTTGGGGATGTGACCCTGGTTTTAAGCATTCCTTTCATGACATACATCCTCCTCTTAAGGGACTCCAGGTGAGATATACTTCCTGCCAACTAACTGCACAGCTTAGAAATGTCACCTGCCTGACTCAGGGACTCCTGACAAATACAACCTGTTCTACACAGAACACGTTGAAAGAGACACTCCAAGCAAACTAAGTGAATTATGGCTGGACGAACAGGAGAACTGGTTAACACTTTCATTCCTTGCATTCACTGCTTGGTTTCTTCCTCCCTTTCTTGTCCTCTTCAATGTCACCTTTGCCCACGCAGGCATGAAATCTGTCTCAGAAGCACTCTCGTATTTTAGCCGCCATCGGTGCCCTTAACAAGGGTGGAGTACAGCACGGCTATAACTTACCCTTTGGAAGCAACCGAACTACAGGGAACTGATTTGCGCTGGAGTTTCCATAACTGCAAGCCCGCCTCATGTGTATTTATGACACTGAAAACTTAGCATAATAAAACACTTATTGATTATGGATGTGCCACTCAGCAGAATCAACAATGTGCCAAAGATAAATGAATGCCACATTTAAAATGTAAGGCATTAAGCACATAATGAGTTTTGCAAAATGGATTTCAATCCTGAAGAATATATAGAAGGAGAGCAGGAATTGCTATCTCTCTGTAGCCTTCCCTTCCGCTTCTTTGTTGCTTTTCATGACATAACTGGAGGGAGGGGGAACCACCCCTCTATTTCTATTTTAGGAATTCTACAAAGAAGGATAGTAGCTGTAACAGAGAACATGGGGGCACGCATATATATATATATATGCAGAGAACTCTTCTCAAGCACAATACAGGCAGTTCCTGGGTTATGAACAAGATAGGCTCTGTAGGGCCACCCATACCAAAAAAGGGAAATGCGAAAGACTGCTCCAACTTCCGTACAGTGGCCCTTATTTCTCATGCCAGTAAGGTAATGCTCAAGATCCTGCAAGGAAGACTCCAGCAATACATGGAGCGAGAGTTGCCAGATGTTCAAGCTGGGTTTAGAAAAGGCAGAGGAACGAGAGACCAGATTGCCAATATCCGCTGGATAATGGAGAAAGGCAGGGAGTTTCAGAAAAACATCTATTTCTGCTTCATTGACTACTCTAAAGCCTTTGACTGTGTGGATCATAATAAATTGTGGCAAGTTCTTGGTGGGATGGGCATACCAAGCCACCTTGTCTCTCTCCTGAGGAATCTGTACAAGGACCAAGTCGCAACAGTAAGAACTAACCACGGAACATCAGACTGGTTCAAGATTGGCAAAGGCGTACGGCAAGGATGCATACTCTCACCCAACCTTTTAAACTTGTATGCAGAACACATCATGCGATGTGCGGGGCTTGATGAGAAAAGATGATGCTGTCAAGGTGATGCATGCCATTTGCCAGCAAATATGGAAAACACAAGAATGGCCATCAGACTGGAAAAAATCCACTTCTATCCCCATACCAAAAAAGGGAAATGCGAAAGACTGCTCAAACTTCCATACAGTGGCCCTTATTTCTCATGCCAGTAAGGTAATGCTCAAGATCCTGCAAGGAAGACTCCAGCAAGACATGGAGCGAGAGAGTTGCCAGATGTTCAAGCTGGGTTTAGAAAAGGCAGAGGAACGAGAGACCAGATTGCCAATATCCGCTGGAGAATGGAGAAAGGCGGGGAGTTTCAGAAAAACATCTATTTCTGCTTCATTGACTATTCTAAAGCCTTTGACTGTGTGGATCATCATAAATTGTGGCAAGTTCTTAGTGGGATGGGCATCCCAAGCCCCCTTCCCTCTCTCCTGAGGAATCTGTACAAGGACCAAGTAGCAACAGTCAGAACTGACCACGGAACAACAGACTGGTTCAAGATTGGGAAAGGCGTCCGGCAAGGCTGCATCCTCTCACCCAACCTTTTTAACTTGTATGCAGAACACATCATGCGAGGATGTGCGGGGCTGGATGAATGCAAAGCTGGGGTGAAAATTGCTGGAAGAAACATTAACAACCTCAGATATGCAGATGACACCACTCTGATGGTCGAAAGCGAGGAGGAGCTGAGGAGCCTTCTAATCAAGGTGAAAGAAGAAAGCGCAAAAGCTGGGTTGCAGCTAAACATAAAAAAAACAAGATTATGGCAACAAGAATGATTGACAACTGGGAAATAGAGGGAGAAAATGTGGAGGCCGTGACAGACTTTGTATTTCTAGGCGCAAAGATTACTGCAGATGCAGACTGTGGCCAGGAAACCAGAAGACGCTTACTTCTTGGGAGGAGAGCAATGTCCAATCTCGATAAAATAGTAAAGAGTAGAGACATCAGACTGGCAACAAAGATCCGCCTAGTCAAAGCCATGGTATTCCCTGTAGTCAACCTACGGATGTGAGAGCTGGACCTTAGGGAAGGCTGAGCGAAGGAAGATCGATGCTTTTGAGCTGTGGTGTGGGAGGAAAGTGCTGAGAGTGCCTTGGACTGCGAGAAGATCCAACCAGTCCATCCTCCAGGAAATAAAGCCCGACTGCTCATGGAGGGAAGGAGACTAGAGACAAAGTTGAAGTACTTTGGCCACATCATGAGGAGACAGGAAAGCCTAGAGAAGACAATGATGCTGGGGAAAGTGGAAGGCAAAAGGAAGAGGGGCCGACCAAGGACAAGATGGATGGATGGCATCCTTGAAGGGACTGGACTGACCTTGAAGGAGCTGGGGGTGGTGACGGCCGACAGGGAGCTCTGGCGTGGGCTGGTCCATGAGGTCACGAAGAGTCGGAGACGACTGAACGAATGAACAAACATGCCTTTTATAGCCTCCAAATGCAAGCAAACAAAGAACATGCGTCTACATACATTGACCTCATTCACTACGTCACCTTAGCATCATAAGAATATCAAGTTCTATTTTCCAACATGCAAAAGGCATGTTTCTGTGTATTTCTAGGAGCAGCATACAGCTTACCTTCATCAATCAAGGGGCCTAACTTTGACTTTTAGAGCCTAGTTGTACCAGTCTGTTGCCACTAGGACAGGCTTATCTCTCTCTCTGGAATGTATAGATAACATGCCCCCCTCTTCAGCCCCCCTCTTGCTGTGCCTTGGACAGCAGCTTGCTTGTCCTGTTAGCATTCTTTCTATACAGAGAGAACTTGATTTTTCTATACATTTCAGTGCTTGTAAAGTACATACAATTTATACATAAATAAATATCTATTTTTCCCACATCTCCTCATCACTCGGCCCGCTGACCTCCCGCACAGGACCCACTCACCCAGAGGTCGGACGAAGGCTCTTCTTGCAGAGGGAAGCCAGATTTGCAAGAGCCGGAAAAGGAGAAGGACGGGGAGGCCAGGCCCTGACCTCCTTCAACGGCCTGAAGCAAAGGTTCAGCAGCCGCTGTGATGGACTCTTCACAGGAAGCCAGGATGGCTTTGGCCCTCTCTCCGCTTTCGTGGCGCTCCAGGGCTCCTGGGGCAAAAGGCAAAGCAGGAAATCACAAGAGGGGTCCCAGGAGAGAAGGGTCCCAGCCAAGGGGAAACGGAAGCAAAGGCACCTGCTCATGAGTAAGAGAGGAGTTTAGGAAACCCTTTAGTGCAGTGGTTCTCAACCTGGGGTCCCCAGATGTTTTTGGCCTTCAACTCCCAGAAATCCTAATGAAAGGGTCTTTGAGCGAAATTTGCAAATGCTAAGCAAGGGGCTTTGAATGAAATTAACAGCAAAAGAGAAACATACCCTTTCTCTGTAGAAAAAGAGCAGCACGGAAGAAAATGTTTTTAAGAAACAAGATGTGACACATAGAGGTCGGAAGTTGTATTGTGGTTAAGTTCAAAGGTTGTTTTTTGAAGCGCAGAGTCTGCAGGTACAAGAAGGTACTTTCCATCAAAAGGTCAAGCTTGCAAACTCTGTGTTTTGTCTGTTTGTTTGTTTTTGTTAAAAATGTAATACAAATGTCTGGTTGCGGATGATACGATAAATAAACGTATAATAGCATAGGAAATAACTGGAAACAGGGCCATTTAATAGGATCGAGCCAACTTAAACTTAAGAATATATATAGTAATGTAATATAGGAATTCAAAATCAGGCCATAATTCAGGTCCTGATATAAGTCATTTATCATAGGAGTCATCAGTCGAAGGCACAATGAAACATCCACATCTTTAATTCCTTACGGAATGTGGATAGGGAGGGTGCCAGCCTAATCGCCTCGGAGAGGGAGTTCCAGAGATGAGGGGCCACCACCGAGAATGTCCTTTCTCTCGTCCCCACTCACCGCGCCTGAGACGGGGGCGGGAACGAGAGAAGAGCATCCCCGGAAGATCTTAAGGATCGTGTGGGCTCGTAGGGGAGGATGCAGTCTCGAAGATAGGCATGCCCTGAACCGTTTAGAGCTATATAGGTAATTTATTTATCGTGTCATCAGCAACCAGACCATTGTATTACATTTCTAACAGAACAAAACAAACAAACAGATAAAAACCACAAATTTTGCAAACTTGGTAGTTGATTAAATGTCCTTTGACCAGTCTCTGGCCCCTTGGAGTGCCTCTGGTGTTGCCGCAAGGAGGTCCTCCCTTGTGCATCATGTGGCAGGGCTCAGGTTGCATTGCAGCAGGTGGTCAGTGGTTGGCTCTTCTCCGCACTCGCATGTCGTGGACTCCACTTTGTGGCCCCATTTCTTGAGGTTGGCTCTGCATCTCGTGGTGCCAGAGTGCAGTCTGTTCAGCCCTTCCAAGTCGCCCAGTTTTCTGTGTGCACAGGAGGGAGTCTCTCATTTGGTATCAGCCACTGATTGAGGTTCTGGGTTTGAGCCTGCCACTTTTGGACTCTCGCTTGCTGAGGTGTTCCAGTGAGTGTCTCTGCAGATCTTAGAAAACTATTTCTTGATTTAAGTCGTTGACGTGCTGGCTGATACCCAAACAGGATGAGCTGGAGATGTCTCTGCCTTGGTCCTTTCACTATTGGCTGCTACTTCCCGGCGGATGTCAGGTGGTGCAATACCGGCTAAGCAGTGTAATTTCTCCAGTGGTGTAGGGCACAAACACCCCGTGATAATGCGGCATGTCTCATTAAGAGCCACATCCACTGTTTTAGCGTGGTGAGATGTGTTCCACACTGGGCATGCATACTCAGCAGCAGAGTAGCATAGCGCAAGGGCAGATGTCTTCACTGTGTCTGGTTGTGATCCCCAGGTTGTGCCAGTCAGCTTTCGTATGATATTGTTTCTAGCGACCCACTTTTTGCTTGATGTTCAGGCAGTGCTTCTTGTAGGTCAGAGCACGGTCCAGAGTGACTCCCAGGGATTATTTATTTATTTATTATTTATTTCTTGCATTTATTAACCGCCGCTCTCAGCCCTAGGGCGACTCGCGGCGGTGTACAGTACAAAAGACACTTACAAAAAATCAGAACAACAACTAACATCATTAATACATAACATCTTAATTACACTAAAAATCCGCTTCGTCATATTATGGAATCGTAATCAATCTCGTAGTCATAGTTCGTTCCGGTTGTCTTTACTAGTAACCTAGCACTTAGTTGAAAGCCTGCTCAAAGAGCCAAGTCTTCAGGCCCTTACGAAAGGCCATGAGGGAGGGGGCCTGTCTAACGTCAGCAGGGAGGGAGTTCCACAGCCGGGGGGCTACCACCGAGAAGGCCCGCTCCCTCGTCCCAGCCAAACGTGCCTGTGAGGCAGGCGGGATCGAGAGAAGGGCCTCCCCGGATGATCTCAAGGTCCTTGTGGGCTCGTAGGCCAAGATGCGGTCCGCAAGGTATTTTGGGCCGGAACCGTTTAGGGCTTTGTAGGATAACACCAGCACCTTAAATTGGGCCCGGTAGATTTGGGTGCGCTGCAATGCTCCAGTGGGATTCCTTCCCAGGTAATCCTCAGACCTTGGGATGCTTGTCTGTTCTTAAGGTGAAAGGCACATATCTGTGTTTAGATGGATTAGGGATCAGCTGGTTTTCCCTGTAATAGGCAGTAAGAGCACCTAGAGCTTCGGAGAGCTTCTGTTCAACCATCTCAAAGCTCCCTGCTTGAACGGTGATGGCACGATCATCAGCATAGATGAAGCTCTCTGTCCCTTCTGGCAGTGGCTGGTCATTTGTGTAGATGTTGAACATGGATGGAGCAAGCACGCTCCCCTGAGGCAGGCCGTTCTTCTGTTTCCGCCCTCTGCTTCTCTGGCCCTGGAACTCAACAAAAAGCTCCTGTTTTGTAGCAGGTTTCCTCTGAGGCGGGTGAGGTGGTCGTCCTTTGTGAGATTATACATTTTTCTCAGGAGGAGGCAGAGGTGGTTCACAGTATCATAAGCCACTATATAAGTAATAACCTGCACCTTGAATTGGGACCGGAGACTTATCGGCAGCCAGTGTTTAAACAAGGGGGTTGACCACTCCCTGTAACTTGCTCCAGTTAGCAATCTGGCTCCAGACCTTTGCACCAGCTGTAGTTTCCGAACTGTCTTCAAGGGCAGCCCAACGTAGAGTGCATTACACATAACACATCTAAATGTGGGGATCAGTCTTGGAAACGCTGGGACTTGACCCACCCACCCCCTCCAAGGAAGAGCCTGCCAAGGGAGGTAGAGTGGCCCTTCTGGTCACCTGTCTCGATGTCCCAGACGTAGACGGAGCCGTCCTCACATCCGATGGCCAGGAGGCTCTGGGCCGGGTGCCACCGAAGGGTCTTCACGGGGGAGAGGTGCTTGCTGGCCTGCAAGAGGCACCTCCGTTCCTGGAGGAGGAGGAGCGCTACGGAGCGCTCTCCACAGACGCAGGCCACCAGCCGGTGCCCCTGGAACTACAGAGAAGGTTTTATTGAGGCTCAAAATGAGGCCTCATTCCACTGTGGCCTCCGCCTCAATGCCCCACTTACTCTGTAGTTTTCCGAGGAGAGCAGCAGATCTGTGACCGGGCCTGACTCGTGCAGCACGAAGCAGTGGAGCCACTCCCCGGTGAACATGTCCCACCAGACAACGCGGGAGTCCCGGCTCCCGGAAAGCAGCCAGCTGGGGTCGAAGCGGGTCGAGCAGCCGTGTGGGTACAGTAGGGCGGTCACCCCGGTGCTGTGGCCGCAGAGTGTCCGGCGTGGAGGGGCCTCTGGAAGAGAGTGAGGGAGAGAAGAAGAGAGGAGATGTGCTGCGGTGGCTTCCTACAAAGCCAGAAACAATGGGTGTTCAAACTAGGTCCTCTGTGGAGGTGGAGGACGATGGGGAAGATTGTCGTCGTCTAACACAGTGGTTCTCAACCTTTCTAATGCCGTGACCCCTAAATAAAGTTCCTCATGTTTTGGTGACCCCCAACAATATTTTCGTTGCTACTTCATAAATAATTTTGCTACTCTTATGAATTCTAATGCAAATATCGAATATGTATTTTCATTGTTACAAATTGAACATAATTAAAGCATAGTGATTAATCACAAAAATATGTTTTGGGGATTATGGACAGTAGATTATGGGATTTGCAGTACCTTCAACCAATTCAGCTCTGTGTATTGTCGAAGGCTTTCATGGCTGGAATCACTAGGTTCTTGTGGGTTTTTTCGGGCTATAGAGCCATGTTCTAGAGGCATTTCTCCTGACGTTTCGCCTGCATCTATGGCAAGCATCCATAGCTCTGAGGATGCTTGCCATAGATGCAGGCGAAACGTCAGGAGAAATGCCTCTAGAACATGGCTCTATAGCCTGAAAAAACCCACAAGAACCTAATTCAGCTCTGACTTCCACAGACCACTAATATCCCCCACGAATTACAGGCCTGGATCAAACTTGGCACACAGAACTCCCATTACCAACAGAAAATACTGGAGAGGCTTGGGGAATATAGACCTTGGCATTTTGGAGCTGCTGGGATATATAGTTTTTCTGTCATCCAAGACCGCTCTGAACTCATGCAACCATGGAATTGACTCATACTTGGCACAGAGAACTCCCATAATCAACAGAAAACAGAGGCTTGGGGAAGTCTCTATGGATGGTCAGGCATTGAGGGGGGTCAGCAGCCATTTTGGAGGGGGAGGGGCCAGTAAAGGCAGCTTCGCGACCCCCCGAAAATGGCCGAATGACCCCCTTTTGGGTCGCGACCCCCAGGTTGAGAACCGCTGGTCTAACATCGGAATCAGGATGTTGCAACTCAGAGTAGGCTTCGCCTTGCTTCCAAACACCACCACACAAAAGATGTAGTTTTACAGTTTCTTGAGGAAAAAATCCAAGTCAAAACAAAGAATAAGTGTTGCAAAGTTCCAAAGATTAAGGTTAAATGCAGAATATAGTTCCAAAGATCTTCAGGTAAAAGCAGGAGACATAATCCTATTGGCAAAGTTCAAACCAGAGTTCCAGGTACAAGCAAGGAAATATATGCCCCTAGAATTACCATGCAAGAAATCCCAAGCGTACTGCTTTCCAGGCTAAGGTTCTTCCATGAAGCTTTCAGGCTAATAAGCTATGCTGAACTGACGCTTTCACAGAGTTTCCAGGAGGCCTAAATACCTTCCCCACATCAAAACATTAGGCTCTCAGCATCTTAAAAGCATTGCAATGACCTCTCACTGAGCTAGCCTCCCGTCTGCTTGCCAGACGCAAACTGCGCCTGACCCGGAGATGAAGGCGAGCTTCTCGGGTCAAATCCTTATCTACACTTTTGGTATCATTGTGGGAAGGCACCTGGCTGCTATTTCCTTCGTTAAAATTCCAGCTGTGTTGACACTGCACTGTCTGTGAGAGCCTCGGAAGCAGGCTCAGAGATTTGAGGCACAGACAAAGAGCCAGGAAGCTGAAACCCAACAGGAATCTGAATCCCATCATCCTCATCGTCAGAAACTAGCTCAGCCACAACACAGGAGCAAGTTTAGAGTAGCAACCCGAGTGGCCTGACATTCTGGAACTCACTGGTGTAGAGCAGGAGCAGGACCCTCCAAGGATCGGGGGAAACAGAGTTAGGGCAAGTGTTTGGACTTTGATTTAGTGTATATCTTGGACAGTGGTGAGATCATCAGACATTGAACCTTTTGGAAGGGACTTTTAACTTTTCTCCAGCTTGACCCTCTTTGCGTATTTCTTGCTGTGTATGTTTCCGATCTGCGTTTGACTATGAGATTGGAGAGCGGCTGTAGGCTTGGGCGATCAAGAAAAAAATGGTTCTAAACTCGTTTCGCTTCTAGGGTGCGAAATTCTGAGGACTTCCGAAATTTAAGATTTCAAAATTTCCGAAATTACGAATCGATTCGTTAATGGCGGACGCGATTGCGCAATATGCTAAAAAAAAACCTCCAAATGGGACAGGGGGAACTTCTGAAGCTTCCCTCTCCCTCTGTTGTTGACTGTTGGTGTGATAAAACAAACAACAACTATATTATATTATATTATATTATATTATATTATATTATATTATATTATATTATATTATATATTTTTTAATATTTGACTTCATGTGAGGATGGATTTATTAAAATATAATTTTTAAATTATATTATTATAATATATATATATATATATATATAATTTATTATATTATATATATTATATTATTATATATTATATTATATTATATTATATTATTATAATATAATATATATATATATATAATTTATTATATTATATATATTATATTATTATAATATTAATTATATATTATTATATTATATTATATTATATTATATTATATTATATTATATTATACAATTATAATATAATATAATAATAATATAGTAATATAATATATAATATAATAATATAATATACAATACAATACAATGCACCAGACATACGGAAAATAATTACGAAATAATTACGAAATAATTACGAAAATTGGAAAAAATTGTTTCGATTCTTAATTACTCCTCACACTATTCCTGCATGGCTCGATATTGGATCGTAAGCTAATTTAAATACGAATCAATAACGAATAACGAAATTAACGAACTGGATCGCCCAAGCCTACTGTGTATGTTTCCGATCTGTGTTTGACTATGAGATTGGAGAGCGGCTGGCAGAGCTCTGACAGTTCAGCAAAGAAGTACTTGCCCTGTCTGGGGATAGCTGTCAGTACAGAGTACTATAGTACCAGAGGCTCCCAGTTGGAGTCAGTCCTCAGATGCCACTCACCTTTTGGGGGGAGAGGCTCCTCCAAAAGCGAGGCCTTCGCCGCGGCCAGAGCTGGGAGCACCATGACCCCTCCGTCCTCGCAGCCCCAGACCAATGTGTCCAGGCTGGGGATGTACAGGGAGGAGGACACAGCTGGGGGCGGGCCCCTCTCACCCCCGTTGGCCCCCCACAGGCGGCCCCAAAAGCCTCCGTCCGCGAGAGGGTGGTGAGTGAGGAAGTCCTCCCGCAGGTCGCAAGAGGCCGCTCTGGGGATCTCTGTAGGAAAAGACAGAGGATGATATAGATCCTTCCATTAACAGGCCCAACTTGGACTCCTGACCTCCATGACCTCAGCAAAGGTTTAGCCACCCTGACCTTTCGGGGAGCCGTCCAGCGTAGAAACGGGGACGTCAGGGACGTGCCACAGCGCCACTCTCCCGGAAGCGTCGCCAGAGCACAGAATCTTATAAAAGGGCTCCTTCCTCTGGTTCATGAAGCCCATGACGCAAGAGGAACTCTGTTGTGGAGAAAGGGAGGTGTACAGGAGTTGATTATAAATTGTATGATTTTAACTGTATTTGTGTTTAGATTGGCTGCAGTAATGCTGGAGTGGCCTAAGTCAGAGGAGTCCTCCATGTGCGTTGCCATGGAGACCGATACAGGAGAGAGGGAAGTGGGAGGAGCTTAGAGGGGAGAGTAAAAAAAAACGACAGTTAATGTTCAGTTAGGGTTTAGGTTTAGAGGAGTGAGCAGTCCGGGTTTAGGTTCAGGGGAGTGAGGAGTTAGGTTCAGAGGAGTGAGGAGTTAGGAGTTGGGAGAGAAGGAAAGGAAAGGTGGCGGAGTGACTTGTGAAGCAAAGCTTTGAGGCTTTGAAAAGCTGGATTTGGCTATTGGAAGTTTCTCAGGCTAGTGTAGCCGAATGGTGAAACATAGCTGGTATTCTTTTAGTCTAAGGAGAGGCTAAAGAATACTTAGTATTTGATCTAGGGAGGATCAAATAAGGGAAACATCCCTGTATGGAAACTTTGTCTGAAACAAGTGCTCTACGTCAGAAAGATACTGTGTTACTTGAAAGAATGAACTGTTAAAGTTACAAGTATTATTCCAAGTGCTACAAGGAAAAGTTACGTCTTGCAATCACACGCTGTGTACTTAATAAAATTGTTAACTTTTATTTGAAGATTGCCTCAACTCCGTCTATTCTGGTTCAAAGTGCCATTTCTCACCATATTACAACTTACCTCACATGGTGGCAGAAACACAGAGAAAAGTAACCAAATAAATCTACATTCTTCTCTCCAGTCACGCAACAGTATATACAGTGTAATTACTCCTAAGTTATTACTTTCTTAATAAAGGAGGAGGTGCAATTGAACAGCCTCCCTTCTAACTTGGTGGTAAATTTGGTTCCTAATCGGCAACCTCCATTTCAAATCAGCTAGTTCTTTTTAAAATAGGGAACTGGGGTAAAATCTCCTGAATACTGGTTCCTTTCAAATTGGTGGCAACAATAAATCATCCCTCCGCTCCCCTGCTTCCTTCCAGGAGGTTCTTAGAAACCACGTCAATTCTTACTTGAATCATAGAATAATAGAGTTGGAAGAGATCACATGGGCTATCTAGTCCAACCCTGTGCCATGCAAGAAAAGCACAATCAAAGCGCCCTCGTTGTCATGTATCATGTTCTGCAGTTGTTGTGGTTGTTGGAGGTAGGCCTAGCGGTTGGTGATAGAAGGGTTAATGTAAGTCTTAGTTCTAAAGGGTTGAGTAATGTGTAAGTAAGAGTTCATGGCTGAAAGCAATTAAGGGTGGAGGTATGCAAGAGACGGGTTGCAGCTGGGTGTTTCTGGATATAACTGATCTTCGGTAGAAAAATATTTGTTTTATCTTGGTGGTAGATGCTGCTGGTTTTCCCCCAGCAGTATCTCCTGAACTTTTGGAATCCTGGAACCTTGAATCTTTGGACTGGCCTTTGACTATGGTATAGACCAGGGTTCCTCAAACTAAGGCCCGCGGGCCGGATATGGCCCCCCAAGGTCATTTACCTGGCCCTTGCTCAGGGTCAACCTAAGTCTGAAATGACTTGAAAGCACATAACAACAACAACAATCCTATCTCATCAGCCAAAACCAGGCCCACACTTCCCATTGAAATACTAATAAGTTTATATTTGTTAAAATTGTTCTTCATTTTAATTATTTTATTGTTTTTAAGTGGTTTTGGACTACAAATAAGATATGTGGAGTGTGCATAGGAATACATACATTTTTTTTTTCAAATTGTAATCCGGCCCTCCAACAGTTTGTTGGACTGTGACCTGGCCCTCTGTTTAAAAGGTTTGAGGACCCCTGGTATAGATTCTTGATCCCTGGACTTTGTTTATTGAACTCTCGGAGTTTGACCACTGGACTGGACCTTTCGACTATGGAGTTATCTTGAACCTGCAACAGTGTTTGTTGTTTTTGTTGTATATTCTGTGGCTGAGTGCTATCTTTGCGTTTTATGTTTTGGACTATTAAAACAGCCAGAAAGTAAGTGCTGTTTTAATTAAATTGTTTTATACAAACTGGGGTTTTGTTTGGTTCATCTCTGCCTCTTTAACGGCAGAGCTCTGGCATCATGAAATTGTGAACGAAATAAAAGAACCTTAGTTAAACATTAAAAAGCATTCATGACATGTTACCTTGTGATCCTCTGTGGAGACCAAAATCCACTGATTGTGGTAATGAGAAAATAACTAAATTAACTCAATGTATATATTACAAATACACATATCACCAAAACAGGACTGCCACATTCACATTAAGTAGAAACAACTGGTTCTTCTCTTGAAGTATAAGACAAAGCCTTCGTGTGAGTAAATGTCCTGTTCTTTATTACATATGAGTAGACTCCAGTAGTCACATGAATTGACTCCAACCTGCAACCGGTTTCGACTCACAAGAGCCTTCGTCAGGAGGTTGGGTTCAAATTATCAAAAAAAAGCTCAACTTTTGAGGTAAGAAATTCCCCAACAGTCTTCTGGAGGTGTGGATCAGCTAGTCTTTGTTGAGCAATATTCTCTGCAAGGAGTTTTATTCTGTGGCGAGTATGGTTCATCTCTGCCTCTTTAACGGCAGAGCTCTGGCATCATGACAATTGTGAACGAAATAAAAGAACCTTAGTTAAACATGACATGTTACCTTGTGATTCTCCCCGTCAGTGGAACAGAGCAGCAGCGGGTGCAGGGTCTCCTTAAGGACTCCTCCTCCTCCACCGCCAGACAGCTGTTGGACACTCCGTGAAAGGCCGCTGTGGAATCGGAGAAGGGGAAAGGCGTCAAAGGACGAGGCAAGAAGATAGGTCCCCATAGTAGGGCTCCCAACCAGCTTCCCGGCCAGACCTGTTCAGAAGCTGGTAGATGAAGCCGCGCCCATCCTCCATCCAGATGATCAGGCGATAAGCAGCCAGGACCTCTCCGCCTGCAAAGGCGCCTTCTGGAGGGCTGGGCTCTGTCCACAGCAAGGAGAAGTCGCAGTAGTCGTACACCTGAGGGCACGGAAGGGAGGAACGAAGTACATATGATATTGGAGCGAGGGAGGAAGTGGGGTAGCTTTGATCATGTTTGCAGATGACACCAAATTAAAAAAAGGAACATTAGGTTCGGATGGGAAAAGAAAGAGGGGCTAATGGTGACCTGGAATAATACAAAATACTGGATAACATCTGAACCAAAGGCCAAAGACTTATGGGAAAAATTCAACATAAAGAAACTAAAGAACCTCAAACTAACGGGACATGTGGCGGATTGAAGACACACACCTCAAGAGAAAGAAATAGTGATGATGAGAGGAGTGATGAGGAGTCACCAAGTGGACTAGATGACACAATAAAAAAAGAAGAAAGAGACCGAGGAAAAAGTCTCCGAAGGTCTATTTATACCACTCAGACTCAGCAAAGGCAAACTCAGAGACGGAAAAAGAAATCGGAAGAACCTATGACTCAGAGAATTAAGATAATTTCCCACAATGTCAACGGGCTAAATTCCCATAATAAAAGAAAAATATATGGCATCACCTAAAAAAACATAAGTACGAGATCATTTCTTTACAAGAGACTCACATCTCACAAAAAGCTGAGTTGCCATAGCAATGGGGGCGGAGCAAACTGCCAACTGCCACTTGGCAGCGCAGCTTTTTGAAAGTTGCCAGTCTGTAGCCAGAGAGTTACAGGAGAGGATTCTCCAGTGAGAGGATCAAGGAACTGATCTGTAGTTGTGAACTACAGAGGTAGTTGATCCTGTGTGGAAGTTGAAATCCAACAGGAATCCTGTAGTGATAGAACCACAAGGAGGACTGATTCTTTGATTAAGAATCAAGATTTGGCTTGGAGCCAATACAGTTAATAAGTCAAGTGGCTTATTTGTATTACCAGAACGGTTGTTAAAGAAAGAAACATTTGCCTAAAGAAACCTTTTGAAATCTCTTTAGTGCCTAGAGTCATTCAAGAACCTCTATAAATATAACCAGCTAAGTGTGTGCCTCTAGAGTGAAGTAACATTGAATCTATTCTACTCCTGTTGTATTCCAATAAACTTGTTACTGTTTTTCTCAAGCCTTGCCTCAGATATAATTTCTTCTAAGTCAAACAGCCCTGCACAAGAAGAAGGACCAAATTAGGGTTATTAAACATAAGCTACGCTATCAAATAAGTAAACCCCCCTTAATTAGTGGTCCCTTGGCATCCAGCTCCTAAGTTGATATTGATAATTGCCCGGCTTGCTCACAGATAGTCCCTGGGACCTCTTCCAATTCTAGGATTCTGATCATTGACCTTTGTGGTTCTTCTGGTTCAAGGGATTCTCTCAGGAAACGCTGGAAAAGGCAAAGTGTGTCCTGCTGAGCTGAGCTGAGCGCTCCTGCAGCCCCTCCAGACCAGAGCGACCCCCTCCCCGCTAGGTCCCGCCAGCCATTACCTTCCAGCAGGAGGAGAAGACGGCCAGGAGCAGCCGCTCGGTGAAGGGGCAGAAACGGATGGCGCGGCAGGGAAACTGACCGAGAGCCCTGGACTCCCTCTCGATGACCCTCTGGCCTTCCTGCAGATGGGGAAGAAAGAGTGTTGGAAGTCAACCTCACACTGGGTTCTTGTAGGTTTTTTTGGGGCTATATGGCCATGTTCTAGAGGCATTCTCTCCTGACGTTTCGCCTGCATCTATGGCAAGCATCCTCAGAGGTAGTGAGGTCTGTTGGAACTAGGAAAATGTTTATATATCTGTGGATTGACCAGGGTGGGACAAAGGACTCTTGTCTGTTGGAGCTAGGTGTGAATGTTTCAACTGACCACCTCGATTAGCATTTGATGGCCTGGCAGTGCCTCGGGCAATCTTTTGTTGAGAGGTGATTAGATGTCCTTGTTTGTTTCCTCTCTGTTGTTTTGCTGTTGTAATTTTAGAGTTTTTTAATACTGGTAGCCAGATTTTGTTCATTTTCATGGTTTCCTCCTTTCTGTTGAGGATGCTTGCCATAGATGCAGGCGAAACGTCAGGAGAGAATGCCTCTAGAACATGGCCATATAGCCCAAAAAAACCTACAACAACCCAGTGATTCCGGCCATGAAATACTTCGACAATACATTCAACCTCACACTGCCCAGGTGAACTACAACTCCAAAACCAAAGGACACTGCCCACCAAACCCTTCCAGTATTTTCTGTTGGTCATGGGAGAACTGTGTGCCAAGTTTGGTTCAATTCCAACATTGGTGGGGTTCGGAATGTTCCTTGATTGTAGGTGAACTATAAATCCCAGCAACTACAACTCCCAAATGACAAAATCATTTTTTTAAGTGAAGGACATACATTGGATTGTTAGGTGCATGCTGATCAAATCTGGTGTAAATTTGTCCAGTGGTTTTTGAGTTCTGTTAATCCCACAAATGAACATTACATTTTTATTTATATAGATTTCCTGCTTTTCTCCCAGATCGGGACTCAAAGCGGCAAACAACATGCAAACAAAAAATGACATAGCATAAAACATAATCATCAAAACACAACACAACTGGTAAAAATGATAAAACATTTGACACATGTAGTAAATAACTAGCAAAGACACAGTTTAAACATTCAAATGGTCGATACCCCATCTAATATCAATTCCTTAGGCCGTGGTCAAAAATCCATTGCTGGAGGTCACTACACTTTACCTTTCTGCTTGCTGTGAGCTGACTGGTTATATTTTTGATGCACTGCTATTTTTGGGAGAATTCCCTAACAAAGAGGGCAGCACTGAAGAGCCAATCATCTAAGAACAGGATACTTAGTTGAGGAGTCAGCTCACAGCAAGTAGAAAGGTGAAGTGTAGTGACCTCCGGCCCTGTCCCCTCTTTCACCTTTGGTGACCCCTCATGACCCCTGACCTGGATCTTGCTGATTGAGGAGGAGAGATCCCAGACACTCAGGGTTCCTGCGGCTGAGACAGCAATCAGGGAATCCTCTGCCAGGAGAAACAAAAAGGGGAGACGGGACTGAGCCGTTGGAGTGGGATTCGAGGTGCCACTCGGACCGGGAAAGGGCCAGTGGGAGCAGAGGGCCGCCTCCGTTATTACCCTGTATCCTGGGAGAGTGGGCCAGGCACATGCAGCTGACCCAGTCGGGAGCCTGGGAAGCAGTGAAGGCGTGCAGCACATCCAGCGTCCCGGCGTCCAGGACCAGGATGCCGTCGTAGTGACCACAGCACAGGAGCCAGCCCTCACCGGGCATACGGAAGGAGCTGTGGTAATACTGAGCCAATCCAACCCGTCGTTATCCATAATCAAGGGGGACCATTTAAAGGAACAAGAAGAATGTGGGGAAAAAGAAAGAAGAAATTAAGTCCAGACAATGAGAATAAGTCAGCAACAATATAGCAAATTAATCACAACAATGTGTTGCTGTGAGTTTTCCAGTGTATTATATATATTGTGATATACCTTAATAATATAGTACAATACAATTATTTATAATATTATACTAATTGTATATATTAAATATTACATGTAATATTACTAATAATATTGCAGTACAGTGGTATTTGCCTCCGGAAAATCCTGCAAATCTCTTGGGAAGATAGGCGGACAAACGTCAGCGTGCTGGAAGAAGCAAAGACCACCAGCATCGAAGTGATGGTCCTCCGCCATCAACTCCGCTGGACCGGCTACGTTGTCCGGATGCCCGACCACCGTCTCCCAAAGCAGTTGCTCTACTCCAAACTCAAGAACAGAAAACTGAATGTTGGTGGACAGGAAAAGAGATTGAAAGATGGGCTCAAAGCCAACCTTTAAAACTCTGGCATAGACACTGAGAACTGGGAAGCCCTGGCCCTTGACCGCTCCAGCTGGAGGTCAGCTGTGACCAGCAGTGCTGCAGAATTTGAGGAGGCACGAGTGGAGGGTGAAAGAGAGAAATGTGCCAAGAGGAAAGTGCGCCAGGCAACCCCGACCGAGACCGCCTTCCACCTGGAAACCAATGCCCTCACTGTGGGAGAAGATGCAGGTCAAGAATAGGGCCCCACAGCCACCTACGAACCCACCCTCAGGACACCGAAGTTGGAGGACCATTATCCTCGGACTACGAGGGATCGCCTAAGAAGACAGTGGTATAGTGCAGTAGTAATATATAATTAATTTATTTTATTTATTATTTACGGTATTTATATACCACCTTTCTAGGTGCTATGCTAATAATATAATATATTGTATTTACATATAACATTTAAAATAATATTATAGTGTAATACAATATAATACTAATAATAATACAATATAATGTATAATACAATATCGGTGAATGGATTGTTTATTGTACTAGCCATAGGCCATGACATAAATATACAACCCATTGGGAGAATTCCCTAACAAAGAGGGCAGCACTGAAGAGCCAATCATCTAAGAACAGGATACTGTGCACAATAAGCACGTTCCAATATAAATATTAAAACATGTTCTGTATACTGGCTCTTTAAAATTATAGTAGTAGTGACATGATAATAATTACAAATGTCTGATTTGTATCATCCCAAAATATCTCCATTTCCATTTCTAGCTTCTGCTGTGGACTTTACTAGTTTGGCTCGGATTTTTTGGGCTGCAACTGCAAATGTGGCAACCTTTAATGTTATATTTTTGGAATAATCTGCTATCAAGTCACAGATAACTGCTGACTGTTGACATATAATACAATATTATAATAATATTATAATAATAATTGTATATGATATATTACATGTAATATTACTAACAATATTACAGCATAGTGGTATAGTACAATATAGTAATATATAATACTAATATTGTGCTATGCAAACAATATAATATATTTTATATACATTTAATATTGATATATTATAATGTGTTGGTACAGCTGTACCAGGAGCTCCAACTTCATTTTCTTTCTCTTAAATGTCTGCATGCATTTCAAGGTTTCAGGCGTTCTGCAAAGGTGACGTCCCTTGGTTTGCAGTCATAGGGCCACTGACCCATCAATCACTGTTAAGTTTTGGTTCCGCCCCTTTCCCCAGGGCCCTGGGAGGAGAGGGAGCCATTTTTAGTTCAGTCTTACAGAAGGAAATTAAGCTACAGGACGTGGACCAGCTCCACCTGCAGAAAAGCTTCATTTCCTACAGCTTTAGGGGAAACAGCTTCCGGGAAGAAATCATCCCAAAGCTCTGGCTGGGAACTTACAGACTCTCAGCCTTACAGCATTCGGGGGAAACGGTTTTACAGACCCAAAGAACTCCAGCTGGAGAATCTACAAAGCCTTGACTGGTAGGTCCACTCGGGACCCAAGAAGTAGTTTGGAACCGGTAGTAGAACCCACATCAGCAAAGCCTAGATAGTAGATTGCCTGGGAGAGGTTAAAAAAGGGTTTTCCTTTCAAAAGAAAAGAAACAGTTCTCAAAGCCAGTTGCCTGTCCCTCGTGGACAAGATTAAGAAAGCCACCAGCCATTTGTATGATTGTCGTTGAAGATTGAAGAAGTATTTGTTTAATTTGTTCAACAATAAAGGACTTGGTTAAACCTTTCAAGCCTCTAAAGCAGTGTTTCTCAACCTGTGGGTCGGGACCCCGGGGGTGCTCTTACTGCCTATTACAGGGAAAACCAACTGATCCTCAACCCATCTAAAACACAGACATGTGTTTCTCAAGAACAGACAAGCATCCCGAGCTCTGAGGATCACCTGGGAAGGAATCCCACGGGAGCATTGCAGCGCACCCAAATCCCTGGGAGTCACTCTGGACCGTGCTCTTACCTACAAGAAGCACTGCCTGAACATCAAGCCAAAAGTGGGTGCTAGAAACAATATCATACAAAAGCTGACTGGCACAACCTGGGGATCACAACCAGACACAGTGAAGACATCTGCCCTTGCGCACAAATACCTGGGAGTCACTCTGGACCGGGCTCTTACCTACAAGAAGCACTGCCTGAACATCAAGCAAAAAGTGGGTGCTAGAAACAATATCATACGAAAGCTGACTGGCACAACCTGGGGATCACAACCAGACACAGTGAAGACATCCGCCCTTGTGCGCACCCAAATACCTGGGAGGAGTCACTCTGGACCGTGCTCTTACCTACAAGAAGCACTGCCTGAACATCAAGCAAAATGTGGGTGCTAGAAACAATATCATACGAAAGCTGACTGGCACAACCTGGGGATCACAACCACCACAACCAGACACAGTGAAGACAACTGCCCTTGCGCTGTGCTACTCTGCTGCTGAGTATGCATGCCCAGTGTGGAACACATCCCACCACACTAAAACAGTGGATGTGGCTCTTAATGAGACATGCCACATTATCACGGGGTGTCTGCGCCCTACACCACTGGAGAAATTACACAGTTTAGTGGGCATTGCACCACCTGACATCCGCCGGGAAGTAGCAGCCAATAGTGAAAGGACCAAGGCAGAGACATCTCCAGCTCATCCCTTGTTTGGGTATCAGCCAGCATGTCAACGACTTAAATCAAGAAATAGTTTTCTAAGATCTACAGAGACACTCGCTGGAACACCCCAGCAAGCGAGAGTCCAAAAGTGGCAGCCTATTGATTGAGATACCTTGTAGCTGGAACCAGATGAGAGACTCCCCCCTGGGCACATAGAAGACGGGGCGACTTGGAAGGCACTGAACAGACTGCACTCTGGCACAACGAGATGCAGAGCCAACCTCAAGAAATGGGGCCACAAAGTGGAGTCCACGACATGCGAGTGTGGAGAAGAGCCAACCACTGACCACCTGCTGTCATGCAACCTGAGCCCTGCCACATGATACACAACGGAGGACCTCCTTGCGGCAACACCAGAGGCACTCCAAGGGGCCAGAGACTGGTCAAAGGACATTTAATCAACTACCAAACTCACAAATTTTGTGTTTTGTCTGTTTGTTTGTTTGTTCTGTCAAAAATGTAATACAACTGTTCGGCTGCCTGACACGATAAATAAATAAATATAAATATAATATAATATAATATCCAGGCAGTCTCCAAGTTACAGTAGGTTGGCACTTACGCAGATGGCCGAGTGCCGGAAGGGGAGTCGGGCCTCCTCCACGCATTCCCCACAGGAAACGTCCCAAACGCACATTTCCCTGCCGGAAAGGAAGCCAAGGGTTATTATTATGACTCTTCCAGCCCAAGCCATGCCAGAGAGTAACCAAAGCTAGAAAGGAGGACCAGCAGGGAAAAATCAAGTTGAAATGCACTGCCTCTGAGTCTATCTTTAGAGGGTGGATGACCATCTGTTAGGAGGGTTTAGATTGTGCCTGGCAGAAGGGGGTCAGACTAGATGGCCTCTGAGGATCCATTCCAACCCTAGGAGTCCATAGTTCTCTTTCTCCATGAACCTGCTATTGTCTATGACAGCGTTTCTCAAACTTTGGGTCAAGACCCCTGGGGGGGGGGGTCATGAGGGTGTGTCAGAGGGGTCGCCAAAGACCATCAGAAAACACAGTATTTTCTGTTGGTCATGGGGGTTCTGTGTGGGAAGTTTGGCCCAAGTCTATCCTTGGTGGGGTTCAGAATCCTCTTTGATTGTAGGTGAACTATAAATCCCGTCAACTACAAGGTCTATTTCCCATAAACTCCACCAGTGTTCACATTTGGGCATATTGAGTATCTGTGCCAAGTTTGGTCCAGATCCATCATTGCTTGAGTCCACAGTGCTCTCTGGATGTAGGTGAACTACAACTCCCAAACTCAAGGCCAATGCCCACCAAACCCTTCCAGTATTTTCTGTTGGTCATGGGGGTTCTGTGTGGGAAGTTTGGTTCAATTCTATCCTTGGTGGGGTTCAGAATCCCCTTTGATTGTAGGTGAACTATAAATCCCAGCAACTACAACTCCCAAATGACAAAATCAATTCTTCCCAACCCCACCAGTATTCAACTTTGGGTGTATCAGACATTTGTGCCAAATTTGGTCCAGTGAATGGAAATACATCCTGCATATCCGATATTTACATGGCGATTCATAACATTAATGTTATTGTTGGGGGTCACCACAACATAAGGAACTGTATTAAGGGGTCGCAGCATTAGGAAGGTTGGGAAACACTGGTCTATGAGGTTGGATGGCCATCTGCTGGGAAGATTTTGATTGTGCATTGCCTAAAGGAGGAGGTTGGATTAGATTGGCTTGGGGGGGGGGGTCCCTTCCAATTCTAGGAGTCTATATCCCCCTTTCTCCATGAACTTGCTAATGCCATTCATGGGTTAGAGTTGCCTCAGTCGGGTCAACGTTGTTATTTTATCACGGTCTTGTTTTCAAGTGTTCTTAGTTTCATGTACCAAGTTTTTGCCAAGATTAAGATTGGTCTATGTGGTTTTCCTGCTGTCTTGTTTCATGGATCTAGCTATCCTGAGCAGAACAGAGCTGGACTAGATGTAATCAAGGGGCTTTGGGGGTGGGGTGGGGGGTCCCTTCCAATTCTAGGAGTCTATATTCCCCTTTCTCCATGAACTTGCTAATGTAATTAATGGGTTAGAGTTGCCTCAGTCAGGTCAACGTTGTCATTTTATCACGGTCTTGTTTTCAAGTGTTCTTAGTTTCGTGTATCAAGTTTTTGCCAAGATTAAGATTTGTCTATGTGATTTTCCTGCTGTCTCGTTTCATGGATCTAGCTATCCTGAACAGAACGGGGCTGGACTAGATGTCCTCAAGGGGCTTTGAGGGTGGGGTGGGGGGTCCCTTCCAATTCTAGGAGTCTATATTCCCCTTTCTCCATGAACTTGCTAATGTCATTCATGGGTTAGAGTTGCCTCAGTTGGGTCAACGTTGTCATTTTATCACGGTCTTGTTTTCAAGTGTTCTTAGTTTCGTGTATCAAGTTTTTGCCAAGATTAAGATTTGTCTATGTGATTTTCCTGCTGTCTTGTTTCATGGATCTAGCTATCCTGAGCAGAACGGGGCTGGACTAGATGTCCTCAAGGCCCCCCTCTCTAGAGCTGCCTGACCACTCACCCGTCCTCGGCGGCGCTGACCACGAAGGGCTGCTTCTCGAAGTCCCTGGCCTTGGCCAAGCAGGTCACGGGAGCCGCGTGGCCGAAGAGTAGTTGCTTGGAAGAGACCTGGAAGAAGAGGAAGACGAAGGGGAGTGGGCTTCTGGGCAACAGATTTCCAACCATTCTAGTTTCAGTCCTTCCAAAACTGCTAGTATTGTGCGGACATTCGAATCTCCGTATGACCCTACACTCAAAAAATACAGGATTTTTTAGGTTGGTTTGTTCCCAGGTTATACAGGTTGGTTCCTGATTGGCTGTATCCTAAAAACATGGCTGTTGTATGTCAACCTGTTGAGCCTATGATTGTGTCTGATGTTCATGTTCATGATGGGAATGATGTTCATGTTGATGTTCATGATGGGAATGGGCATGAGGAGGGTTTGCTGGGGACTAAGTTAAGTTCAGAAGAGAGGCCTGAGCTGTCTCTGGAAGATTCCCAAGGCCACATTCTTGAGAGAGGCCCGTTGCCGTTTTTCTCAGACCAAGTGTCTGAACATAATTTGTCAGCTGCAGGAGTTAATGAGGGAGAAGCTAATGAAAGCTTGGATAGAAAGCTAGGCTTTTTTGTTGTTCTTGTTCACTTCTGCACCTGACAAATCATCTTCAGACATTTGCTCTGAGAAAGACTGAAACCCTTCCAGTATTTTCTGTTGGTCATGGGAGAACTGTGTGCCAAGTTTGGTTCAATTCCATCGTTGGTGGGGTTCAGAAAGCTCTGCGATTTTAAGTGAACTATAAATCCCAGGAACTACAACTCCCAAATGACAAAATCAAATTTTGAGTGAAGGACATACATTGGGTTATTAGGTGTCTTTATATGTGTCCAAACTTGGTGTCAATTCATCCAGTGGTTTTTGAGTTCTGTGAATACCACAAACGAACATTACATTTTTATTTATATAGATGGAACTAAAAGCAATTCAATTTAAAAACAGCCTCATATCATTTGCGAAGAATCCTGATAAGCCTTTGCAAGTGACACAATCCAAAATTAAAATGAACCATGTATTAGTTGTACAAATTGAGGAAGGGGAGTTTTAAAGCATAATTGTGGACAAGGTCGTTCCTGTGTCACAGAGCTCCAGAGATAAAGCCTGTTCCCTTTTACATGGTTATTACTTCACCCAGGAATGTGGCCTTGTGAATCTTCCAGAGACAGCTCGGGCTGAAGGGCTTCATCCAGGAATGTGGCCTTGTGAATCTTCCAGAGACAACTCGGGTTGAAGGGCTTCATCCAGGAATGTGGCCTTGTGAATCTTCCAGAGACAACTCGGGTTGAAGGGCTTCATCCAGGAATGTGGCCTTGTGAATCTTCCAGAGACAACTCGGGTTGAAGGGCTTCATCCAGGAATGTGACCTTGTGAATCTTCCAGAGACAGCTCAGGCTGAAGGTCTTCACTCAGGAATGCGGCCTTGTGAATCTTCCAGAGACAGCTCGGGCTGAAGGTCTTCACCCAGGAATGTGGCCTTGTGAATCTTCCAGAGACAGCTCGGGCTGAAGGTCTTCACTCAGGAATGCGGCCTTGTGAATCTTCCAGAGTCAGCTCGGGCTGAAGGTCTTCACCCAGGAATGTGGCCTTGTGAATCTTCCAGAGACAGCTCGGGCTGAAGGATTCACCCAGGAATGTGGCCTTGTGAATCTTCCAGAGACAGCTCGGGTTGAAGGGCTTCATCCAGGAATGTGACCTTGTGAATCTTCCAGAGACAGCTCAGGCTGAAGGTCTTCACTCAGGAATGCGGCCTTGTGAATCTTCCAGAGACAGCTCGGAGACAGCTCGGGCTGAAGGATTCACCCAGGAATGTAGCCTTGTGAATCTTCCAGAGACAGCTCGGGCTGAAGGTCTTCAGCCAGGAATGCGGCCTTGTGAATCTTCCAGAGACAGCTCGGGCTGAAGGATTCACCCAGGAATGTAGCCTTGTGAATCTTCCAGAGACAGCTCGGGCTGAAGGATTCACCCAGGAATGTAGCCTTGTGAATCTTCCAGAGACAGCTCGGGCTGAAGGTCTTCAGCCAGGAATGCGGCCTTGTGAATCTTCCAGAGACAGCTCGGGCTGAAGGGCTTCACCCAGGAATGTGGCCTTGTGAATCTTCCAGAGACAGCTCGGGCTGAAGGGATTCATCCAGGAATGTGGCCTTGTGAATCTTCCAGAGACAGCTCGGGCTGAAGGATTCACCCAGGAATGTAGCCTTGTGAATCTTCCAGAGACAGCTCGGGCTGAAGGATTTACCCAGGAATGTAGGCCTTGTGAATCTTCCAGAGACAGCTCGGGCTGAAGGTCTTCAGCCAGGAATGCGGCCTTGTGAATCTTCCAGAGACAGCTCGGGCTGAAGGATTTACCCAGGAATGTAGCCTTGTGAATCTTCCAAAGACAGCTCAGGCTGAAGGGATTCATCCAGGAATACGGCCTTGTGAATCTTCCAGAGACAGCTTGGGCTGAAGGATTCACCCAGGAATGTAGCCTTGTGAATCTTCCAGAGACAGCTCGGGCTGAAGGTCTTCAGCCAGGAATACGGCCTTGTGAATCTTCCAGAGACAGCTTGGGCTGAAGGATTCACCCAGGAATGTAGCCTTGTGAATCTTCCAGAGACAGCTCGGGCTGAAGGATTTACCCAGGAATGTAGCCTTGTGAATCTTCCAGAGACAGCTCGGGCTGAAGGGATTCATCCAGGAATGGCCTTGTGAATCTTCCAGAGACAGCTCGGGCTGAAGGATTCACCCAGGAATGTAGCCTTGTGAATCTTCCAGAGACAGCTCGGGCTGAAGGTCTTCAGCCAGGAATACGGCCTTGTGAATCTTCCAGAGACAGCTTGGGCTGAAGGATTCACCCAGGAATGTAGCCTTGTGAATCTTCCAGAGACAGCTCGGGCTGAAGGATTTACCCAGGAATGTAGCCTTGTGAATCTTCCAGAGACAGCTCGGGCTGAAGGGATTCATCCAGGAATACGGCCTTGTGAATCTTCCAGAGACAGCTCGGGCTGAAGGATTCACCCAGGAATGTAGCCTTGTGAATCTTCCAGAGACAGCTCGGGCTGAAGGATTTACCCAGGAATACGGCCTTGTGAATCTTCCAGAGACAGCTCGGGCTGAAGGGATTCACCCAGGAATGTAGCCTTGTGAATCTTCCAGAGACAGCTCGGGCTGAAGGTCTTCAGCCAGGAATGCGGCCTTGTGAATCTTCCAGAGACAGCTCGGGCTGAAGGTCTTCACCCAGGAATGTGGCCTTGTGAATCTTCCAGAGACAGCTCGGGCTGAAGGATTCACCCAGGAATGTGGCCTTGTGAATCTTCCAGAGACAGCTCGGGCTGAAGGGATTCATCCAGGAATGTAGCCTTGTGAATCTTCCAGAGACAGCTCGGGCTGAAGGGATTCACCCAGGAATATAGCCTTGTGAATCTTCCAGAGACAGCTCAGGCTGAAGGGATTCACCCAGGAATGCGGCCTTGTGAATCTTCCAGAGACAGCTCGGGCTGAAGGATTCACCCAGGAATGTGGCCTTGTGAATCTTCCAGAGACAGCTCGGGCTGAAGGATTCACCCAGGAATGTAGCCTTGTGAATCTTCCAGAGACAGCTCGGGCTGAAGGTCTTCACCCAGGAATGCGGCCTTGTGAATCTTCCAGAGACAGCTCGGGCTGAAGGTCTTCACCCAGGAATGCGGCCTTGTGAATCTTCCAGAGACAGCTCGGGCTGAAGGTCTTCACCCAGGAATGTAGCCTTGTGAATCTTCCAGAGACAGCTCGGGCTGAAGGATTCACCCAGGAATGTGGCCTTGTGAATCTTCCAGAGACAGCTCGGGCTGAAGGTCTTCAGCCAGGAATGTGGCCTTGTGAATCTTCCAGAGACAGCTCGGGCTGAAGGTCACCCAGGAATGTAGCCTTGTGAATCTTCCAGAGACAGCTTGGGCTGAAGGTCTTCACCCAGGAATGTGGCCTTGTGAATCTTCCAGAGACAGCTTGGGCTGAAGGTCTTCACCCAGGAATGCGGCCTTGTGAATCTTCCAGAGACAGCTCGGGCTGAAGGTCTTCACCCAGGAATGTAGCCTTGTGAATCTTCCAGAGACAGCTCGGGCTGAAGGTCTTCACCCAGGAATGTGGCCTTGTGAATCTTCCAGAGACAGCTCGGGCTGAAGGTCTTCACCCAGGAATGTAGCCTCATCTTGCCCTTGGTCGGCCCCTCTTCCTTTTTCCTTCCATTTTCCCCAGCATCATTGTCTTCGCTAAGCTTTCCTTTCTTCTCATGATGTGGCCAAAGTACTTCATCTTGTATTGTCGAAGGCTGAGACGATCAATTTGGTTACAGCAAAAGAGAGATAACGAACCTTTATCTGGTGGGAAGGTCAAGAAAAATGCTTTCCTTTCAGTTTTTGGGATCTGAAAAATCTGTATAATGATTAGAGTTGCCTCAGTCGGGTCAACGTTGTTATTTTATCACGGTCTTGTTTTCAAGTGTTTTTAGTTTCATGTACCAAGTTTTTGCCAAGATTAAGATTTGTCTGTGAGATTTTCCTGCTGTCTTGTTTCGTGGATTCGAGTGCCTAGTTTCATCAATGTTTATGTACTCATGGATCTTGTTTTCCTTTGAAGCTGATGGACTATTTCTTATATTGGATCTTGACTGTTTTTGCTATATTTTTACTGCTTTGATTACATATAATCTTCAATAAACTGCTTGCTGATTTTCCCAAGCTGGTGTGGTATAAAGGTTAGAGGTGTTCCTGTTCCGGTGTACAACAATGACTAGACAGTTGACTAGAGGGTGGAAACTTTACCCTGGCAAGAGAAACTCCATCCTCCACATGTTTAATGAGGTTTCTGACACACAAACAAAGATTTTGCCATGTAATCCCACTTTCCCTATGTTTTTATGATAACAGCAATGAGGAACAGGCATGTCTAACCCAGGAACTTCACCTCAGTTGAGTCAACGCTGGAATTTCATATCAGTCTTGCTCTCAAGTGTTCTTAGTTTCATGTACCAAGTTTTTGCCAAACTCCTGATTTGTGTATTGGATTCTTTGTGTTGCCTTCTTTCATGGATTCTTGTGCCTGTTTCATGGATTTATATACCTACTAGCTGTACCCGCCACGCGTTGCTGTGACCAACCTTCCCTCTTCTTCCTTCTCTCCTTCCTTCCTTCCTTCCTTCCTTCCTTCCTTCCTTCCTTCCTTCCTTCCTTCCCTCCTTCCTTCCTTCCTTCCCTCCTTCCTTCCTTCCTTCCTTCCTTCCTTCCTTCCTTCCTTTTTCTTCCTTCTCTCTTTCCTTCTTTCCTTCCCTCCTCTTTCTCTACATCTTCCCCCTTCCTTCACTCCCTCTTTCCTTCCTTCATTCCCTTTTTTCTTTCCTTCTCTCCTTCCTTCTTTCCCCTTTTTCTTTCCCTCCCTCTTTCTCTCATTTCTTCCTTCTCTACCTCTTTCCTTCCTTCCCCCTTTTTCTTTCTCTTCTGCTGTCTCTCTTATCTTTCCTTCCATCTTTCCTTTTCTTCTTCCTTCTTTCTCTTACTTTCCTTCCTTCCCCCTTTTTTTTCCTCCCTTTCTCTTTCTTCCTTCTTTCCTTCCTTCCCGTCTTTCCTTCTCTTCTTCCTTCTCTATCTCTTTCCTTCCTCCCCCCTTTTTCTTTCTCTTCTGCTGTCTCTTTTTTTCCTTCCTTCTCTCTTTCCTTCTTTCCTCCTTCCTCCCTTTCTCATGGGAAGGGCGGGGCATGGAGGGGGTGGGGTTTGGAGGGGAAGAAGAAGGAGGGGGAGGAGGGATGGATTTGGAGAGGGCAGAAGGGGCAAGGCTTGGAGGAGGCGGGCTTTGGAGGGGAAGAAGAAGGAGGGGGAGGAGGTAAGATTGGGGAAGAAGAAGGAGGAGGAGGGGGTAAGATTGGGGCGTGGTGTTGCGTGTGTGTGTGTGTGGGGCGGGGGCGGGGGAGGGAGGGGGTGTGGTGTTGTGTGTGCGTGTGGGGCGGGGCAGGGGAGGGAGGGGTTGTTGTGTGCGTGTGGGGCGGGGGGGGAGGGAGGGGGCGTGGTGTTGCGTGTGCGTGTGGGGCGGGGGGAGGGAGGGGGCATGGTGTTGCATGTGCATGTGGGGCGGGGTGGGGGAGTGAGGGGGCGTGGTGTTGCATGTGCGTGGTATGGCGTGTGCGTGTGGAGCGGGGGAGTGAGGGGGCGTGGTGTGGCGTGTGAAGTGACGCAGGGGAGTGAGGGGGCGTGGTGTTGCATGTGCATGTGGGGCGGGGTGGGGGAGTGAGGGGGCGTGGTGTTGCATGTGCGTGGTATGGCGTGTGCGTGTGGAGCGGGGGAGTGAGGGGGCGTCGTGTTGCGTGTGCGTGGGCGGGGCTTCTTTGGAGGTGGCGTGTTGTGGCGTGATCGTGCTGGGGGGGAGGGAGGTGCGGAGGGTGCGTTGGCCGATCAGCCATGTCCGCGCGCCATTGCGCATGCTCAGTTGTTTTGTCCATTTGTGAATGTGTTGTTATGTTGTTTAGTATTTTGAATCAATTTTGGCACACCTTGTGGGTTGAGGTATGTGCATGGGAATTTTGTTAAATTTTCGTCGGGGTTTTTTTGAGTTTTGCTGTCCCGTTGGACGCCCCTTACAGATTTATATATATAGATGGACCTTATTTTGCCTTGAAGCTCATGGACTAATCTTTGTTTTGGAACTTTGCTGTTTTGCTCATTTTACTGCTTTGCCTACTTGTATCCTTCACTAAACTGCTTGCTGATTTTGCCAAGTTGGTGTGGTGCTTAAGGTCAGAAGTGTTCCTTCTCTGGTGTACGACACCCACCTTGAGGTCCGGGGAGAGGTCCCAGAGGCCCAGCTGCCCCTCCTGGCTGCCCGTGATCAAAGTGCGCTGGTCTTCGGCTACCAGGATCGCCGTGATGCTGTGCATGGGGGGCTCCTGGCCCCACAGGGTCACCACCTGCAGTGGGGGCGTCATGCTCGGGACCCTGCAAAGGAGACACAGGCAGGGAGGAAAGGAGCAGAGACTAGGCATTAGTGTATTCATTGGAAAAGAGCACGACAGAATCTAAACACCTCCAGCAGATGGCCATCCAACCTTACAAACATTAATAGGTTAATGGAGCGAGAGAGCTCGAGACTCCAAGGGTTGTAAGGGACCCTGAAAGTCCATTGAGTCCAGCGTCCTCTTTCCAAGCAGGATAAGTACAATCATCCAACCTCATAGACATTAATGGGTTAATAGAGAGAGAGGTGGCGCAATGGGTTAAACCACTGAGTTGCTGAGCTCGTTGACCGAAAGGTCGCTGCTTCAAATCCGGGGAGCAGGGTGAGCTCCCACTGTTAGTCCCAGCTTCCGCCAACCTAGCAGTTCATAGACCTGTCAGTGGCTTATGATACTGTGAACCACCGCCTCCTCCTGAGAAAAATGTCTAATATCACAAAGGGCGACCACCTCACCCGCCTCATAGGAAACCTGCTACAAAACAGGAGCTTTTTTGTTGAGTTCCAGGGCCAGAGAAGCAGATGGCGGACACAGAAGAACGGCCTGCCTCAGGGGAGCGTGCTCGCTCCATCCATGTTCAACATCTACACAAATGACCAGCCACTGCCAGAAGGGACAGAGAGCTTCATCTATGCTGATGATCGTGCAATCACTGCTCAAGCAGGGAACTTTGAGATGGTTGAACAGAAGCTCTCCGAAGCTCTAGGTGCCCTTACTGCCTATTACAGGGAAAACCAGCTGATCCCTAACCCATCTAAAACATAGACATGTGCCTTTCACCTTAAGAACAGACAAGCATCCTGAGCTCTGAAGATCACCTGGGAAGGAATCCCCCGGAGCATTGCAGCGCACCCAAGTACCTGGGAGGAGTCACTCTGGA